TTCTTAGGAGGACCGTGTTAATTTTGCATTGATTTTAAAATTATATTTTTTTCAGCTTCAGGGTACTATTGCCTTTGCGCATATGTCTATCTTAATTTTGGGATAGATGGGGAAGAAGCAATCATAAGGTATTTAATTCTTACTGATTAATTTTTCTTAAGGTAACTCCCCAGCCGAATTCTTGATCTTTTGTGCTGCACTGAAATTACTTGGGGAGTTTCTAGGCTTCGGGATGAATATTGAAGTCCTGAACTGTTTTGTGGTCAAATTCAGACGAAGAAATTTTCAACTACGTCTGAGGAGAGCAATGTTTATTTTCCAAAACTCTATTCAAAATAGTTTTCCTAAAATGCAGTACCTCTGCTTGAGGTGGATGCTCTACAGATGCTTAATTTTTGTGGCTGCATGAATTGCAACAGGAGTCAGAGGGAAAGACTTGTTGAGAGGTGTCTCCAAGCGTGGAGCAGTGAGGGTGGGGAAAAGAGAAGATCAAGTAAGCGCAAAAATGGTAAAATGTGGCCTCTCTCATCAGTGAGCATTTATTGTCTTTCAGAATGCATTGCTTCTGGTGAGAGTAAATGGCAATAAAGAGCAATTGAGTGCAGCAAATTGGTCCATTGAATAATTCAAAATAGTTAAAAATTGCATAATTGGCTTAAAGATGCCTGCTCCAACCCATCTAATGCCTCGGAGGTTCCCTGGGGCTTGGTGCTGATGGAGAGGGGGGTTTTTCAGTGTGGTCAGTGCTGCTGCTCATCACCTCTTTGTCTGGTAGAGGTTGCTCATCGTCGTAAAGTTACTGCCTGTGGCTTTTGGTTTTCTTACTGCCTTTCTGTTCCCAAATACTTGATTTGAACAGACGAGTCAAGCTAAATGTTTGCTCATGAACTGGAATTGGTGTGGGCTCCAGTACCGTGTTTTCATTTGTGTTAATGTTTTGGAGGAATCAATTAGGAAGTTGTTGTAACCTCCTGAACACCTAAAGACTAGAAATAAAGCTATAGCAAAGAAACTGCGGCTGCTCTCACCAGTTCCTGACTCATTGCCCGAGGGAAATTAGCTGCAATGATAAAACCTTGATTCTGAATAATGTCAGAGAGGATGGTGAGGAGATAACTCGCAGAATCAGAGCGAGCTGGAAATGCAGCTCAGCACTTGGGGAAGTCCAGAAGTGTTTTTCCCTTCTTTTTTCCTTCCCTGCCCCTAAAAGCAGGCGTTTTGCCTTATGAAAAGCAAACCAGTCCTTTAAATGGTTTTGATAACCATTGCAGGAGGAATATCGTGTTCATTTTGAGGCATTTTAATTAAGGAGGAAGGTGGGAAGTTTAGAGAAGCTAAAAAAAGCTAGAAAAGCAGGTGAGAATGGTAAAATTGGGGGGCAGGATAAAAGAGGGGGCAAAAAAGGGCTAAGTTTAGCTAGGCAAAGCAGTGTCTGCTGCTTTTGTGGTCTGCAAGTTTCTGAAAGAGGTAAGTAGAAAAGGAAGAAGAGAAATGGAGGTTGTAGAGGCTGATGTAACCATGAGTAATGGGGCAGGGTGGGCAGGGGTGGGAGGGTTTGCTGCCATCGCAATGACGCTTCCCCAATAAATCCTGGTGAGAAACATCACGCCCAAGAGGAGAGGCAGAAACCAGCTCACTCAGGACCAATAAATTCAGGCTGCCGGAGATCAGAGACATACATCTTAATGAACATTTCTTCCTGAGCAGAAGCAGGATGAGCTAATTGTCTCTGCCCTCTGGTTTCCCTGGCTCCGATTCACGTTTGTTGAATTTAAGTGCTGTTACAAGTAATTGGAGGTAGATATGCAGATCAGAGGAAGAATTGGGCTGCGTTGCATATATTAGCTGAAAGAATGAAGTAATTAAATTTGCCAATTTAAGGCCACTTTCCTTCCCGATCCTTAGAAAATACTGACCTGGCAGATTTTTGATGCTGGACTGTTCATTTTAGTTTTGCAAGTGGGACTTGATGACCTGCTCTTGAAAATATGTATTTAGAGAAGGGAAAGGAAGGAAATGGCCTTCATGAGGGGCAAGTTGAATAACTTGCTTTCTCTGTTCACCTTGTGTCTGCACAAATGGGACATGGTATTATATGTTTCCTTAAAGAAAAAGGGGAGGGGAAGGCAATTTTTAATAAATTTTCCAATCTCAGAAATTACATCATTGTACCCTGGCAAGGAAGGAAGACAGTTTAAGTGAATTGTTCTTTTTTCTAATGTCTTGTAACTAGATTATAGTTCTGTGTATTCCTCCTTTTCCTGAAGAGGAAACAACTCTTCCCACCCAGTGCTAGATTTTTGGGCTAAGAAGAAGAGATTGCATCTGGGCTTTCGTGCCGTACTTGCAATTAAAGTGAATAAAATTGGATATGTTATTTAAACATTAAGAGGGAAGTTAGAAGGTGTTTAATACTGTTACTGTCAAGGAAACGGGGAAGTAATAATTAGAAATGATGGATGGATACAGAGGAAGCTTTTTGTATAAATCATAGAATCATAGAATTGTCCAGGTTGGAAGGGACCTTTAAGATCATCTAGTCCAACCATCAACCTCGCTCTGATAAAAACCATCACTAAACCACGTCTCTAAGCTCTGTGTCAACCCATCTGTTAAATACCTCCAGGGATGGGGCCTCAACCCCTTCCCTGGGCAGCCCAGTCCAAGGTTTCATAACCCTTTCTGTGTCAAAATCTTTCCTGCTCTCCAATCTGAACCTCCCCTGGTGCAACTTGAGGCCGTTTCCTCTTGTCCCATCGCCTGGGACTTGGGAGAAGAGACCGACCCCCCCTGGCTACACCCTCCTTTCAGGGAGTTGGAGAGAACGAGAAGGTCTCCCCTCAGCGTCCTTTTCTCCAGGCTGAACACCCCCAGCTCCCCCAGCCTCTCCTCAGGAGACTTGTTCTCCAGACCCCTCACCAGCTCCGTTGCCCTTCTCTGGACCCGCTCCAGCCCCTCAAGGTCTTATTTGTGGGAAGGGGCCCAAAACTGGACACAGACCTTGAGGTGGGACCTCACCAGTGCCCAGGACAGGGGGACCATCACCTCTTGAGTCCTGCTCCCCACACTGTTCCTGACACAGGCCAGGATGCTGGTGGCCTTCTTGGCCACCTGGGCACACTGCTGGCTCCTGTTCAGCCCACAGGCCACCAACACCCCCAGGTCCTTTTCTGCCAGGCAGCTCCAGCCACTCTGCCCCCAGCCTGGAGCGCTGCAGGGGCCCCGTTGGTGGGACCCAAGGGCAGGACCCCTTTAATTAGATTGCATCGTTGAAGAGATCACAAAGTTGGTGTTGAGGGACCCCTTTAATTAGGTTGCATCATTGAAGACATCATGAAGTTGGTGTGGCTGGTCCACCTGAGCACATCTCCACTAAAGCTGGAATAAGGAGGGATGGAGAGCAAAGAGCTCCCAATCCCAGCAGGCAGGGCAGAGAAGCTGGGTGGATGCATGGCTTCTGCTGCAGGGCTGTGTATGAAATAACCCACCACATGCTGTTAGAGGAGACATCACTTATGCACATCGTGCTCGGAATTCAAGGCCTGAATAATTGGCCACGAGGAAGTCTGGAATCTGGTGATGATAATGGCAGGACTGTGTGTGCTGTATATATCAGGCAGATAGTGACAGGCCGTTCCTGCCGTCGGGTTTAATGTTGTTATACGTCTGTTTAAGGCACAAAGTGATTGGAAAAAATGATCTCGTTAACACATTTGCCAGATCTTTTAGTGATAAAGTGCTACAGTTTATTACAGCAAGGGGAAGACGTGATGTAAAAGTCCCCTGGCCCTAAATGGAAGCTGTAACTGATGTACAAAATCCGGTTCAGTTAATTCCGTATTAATTTCTTTTTGTTTGAGTGATTCCTCTTTGCGCTCCCCCTCCCACCCTCATCTGGGATATGCCTGAAGGCAGAACACGGGTTGGAGAAACTCATTACTTTTTGAGCATCCACCGGGACTATTAAAAGTTGACTGCAACAGATGAGGTTAAAGAAGATTGAGCCTCACCAGTGATCCACATCCTGCTGGCAGATTTGGGTGGGGAAGAACCATCTTCAGAACAAAAAAAAAAAAAGGGGGGGACTGAGTTTTAATTGAACATTTTAATTGATCACACCCTAAGCACTAATTATGGCCTAGAAGATTCCCTAGAAATCCCAGCAAACACCAACATTCCTGTAGGTGGTATGTATTTGAAAGTAGCAGAGCAAGATAAATTCTCATATATTAGCTTAATTTGGAAAAAAAATTGTGGCACTGTGTTGTGGTGGGTTAGAGCGCCCAAAATGGAAACAAATCTGAAATTCTTTGGTGGGATGGAGGGGAAAGAGGGTAGTTTTGCTGTGATGGGTGGCTGCAAAGTGATGCTTTTGCAAAGTTCTGGCTAAATAAACCATGACAACGTAGATTAAACACAATGAAAAATAAGGTACTGGGCTGTCTCGGGTGCATCTGAGCTGGTGAGCCCCAGCTTGTGAGTTATCTCAGTGTCATAACTGGACTGGGACAGAGTTGGTAATGATTTGTTTAAATTTACTGAGTGAGACAAGAGCTGAGTCTGGAAGAGAATTACCCGAAGTCCGGGTCTGCTCCTCTCCTCTCCAAGCACGGAGAGCACTTGGCAGCCCTGGAGGAACGTCCTCTGGCCAAATTGGTGCTAAACTGCATGGAGCAGGCTGAAGCTCTTGCTGCCACATTGTTTTCTCTTGATTGTCATTAGAAATACCAGATGGTGTCTTGCTTTTGTGCTGTAAATGGAATCAACTTTGTTCAAGAAACATCTTCTCCTCCTAACGTCCTTGCCATGACTTTTGGTAAAAGGAGCACCATGAAGCTCATAGCTAGAGGTTCCCAAGAACTGCATTTTGTTCTTAAAATGGCAAGAATTGTGGAAAATTGCTTTTGGATAAAGTAATTCTGAACTTGTGCCTTTTTTATTGGGCTTTTGTGTCTTCATTAACTGGTCTTTGTTTTTCTTTTTGTGGTTTTTTTATGTAGCTCCCCAGAGGAATTTTGAAATCGCCTTTAAGATGTTTGACCTGAATGGTGACGGTGAGGTGGACATGGAAGAGTTTGAGCAGGCAAGTTGAATAATGGGTTGACTTCTTTAATGCTATGGGATCTTAGTCATTGTAATTTCTATTTGTGGTTAGTGCTGGTTTGCATATTTCCTTCTATGCTCTGCTTTTTTTTTTTTTAACTGGATATTTCAAGACAATTTTTCATTCAACCAGGCCACTGTAAGTATAAACTCCAATTTTCTGTGACTTTGTCACCAAGGTATCTTTATAAGATGTCACCTCCAAAGCAGATAAAGAATTGTCTGATGTCATTTAATTTTGATCCTACTTTCTTCCACAGCTTTTACTGCATTCCTTAATTTTGTTTGTCTTCAGAGAATAACCAGGGCGAGTCTGCTTCAAAGAAGACTTTCAATGTAATCTTAAAAATGTGTTTATTGAGAGTGTATTTTCATTAGTTTCTTTCCCCTATCTCTTTCAATGTTTTATCAACAGGGAGTTTGATGGAGGCTTTTTAATGAGCTTTTAATGAGCCTGCATAGCTGAGACTGGTGAGGTCCTCCTATAAGCTATTGTTTGGGGTTGTGTTAGAGTGAGAACAGATTGAAGACTGGAGCTGTCAGTGGGGGAAAAACATCTGACATCCCCAGGCAGAAGTGTGTGGAAATCTTCCCTACATAGAAAACACCCTTAAGGCTTTGGGAACTCAAACATCCTGAAGGTGCAAAGCTCCATGTGTGGCTATTCATGAATGTAAATGTGTTTGCAAAGAGGGGAACTGGTAGTTGGATGGGGACTCGCCACCTCTGTTATCAAAGAGCAAGGAAGAGGAGATACACACCTAATATTCATGTGGCCCCTGGCACTTTTGTGACCCCCTGTCCCTCAGGGCTATGCATTGAACGGGCAAGTGGAAGCTGCTACTTCTGGGCAAAGGAAATGAGTCTCTCTGGTTTAAAAAAATAACCTGCCCTTGCAGGGTTTATTTTTTTTATGCTGGAGGACATCCGTAGTTGGGGAAGGTGAAAAGCTGGGTACTGATATGTGAGAACAAAGCAGCCCTGAATAATCCAGTTAAAAATTCTTATTCATTGGTTGGTTGAATGACTAGTTCACTTCAGAAGAGTCCATAAGAGGTCATGCTTGGGGCACTTGCTGTAATTGGGAAGAGCTAGTGGCAAAGCAGCTCCATTAAATTAATCCTCCCCCTTTTAATCTTCTGCTGTCATCCTCCTTAATTTATTACCTGTGTCTATGATGTCATTATTATGAGTTTGCTCCAGAGCTGTGTAATACATCTGGTTAATGATACGTTTTTAGATGCAAACTTTGGACTATGAGGAGAATGGGAATATGTTTATCTCCAAAATGATATCTCTTCACATGATAGCTTCTAATGTAAAGCTTCTTAATTTTTCTTCAAGTGCAAATCTCAGTATGCAGCTGTATCCAGGTTATTGTGCTGTTTGGCACTGCCTCTTTGCAAACTACTGATTTATCTACGAAAAATGCCAAGTTTCCTATTTTTGCAAGTAAGAAATACCGTTCTTCCTTCTGTTCGCATTGTGCATGGGTATAGCTCTCTCCACTGCAGCTATCGGATAATATTTAACAATTCAAAAGGTGTTTTGCAGTAGTTACTGGTGTTCTAAAGTGCAATCAATTCCGGTGATAAATAAATTTAAGAAAAGTGGAGAATGGTTAACTGCCTACTAAAAATGCAGTGATGCCAAGGTGTTACCTGAAACAAAAGCTCTTGAAACCAAAAGTAGTTTAGAGAGGCAATATGGCTTTATTGGACGTTGAGTGCTAGGTGGAAATTCACAAATATAGCACACTTTACTGGGGATATTTACCCATTATTTATACACTGAAGATTCTCATCTTTCTGCCTACGTAATCCGTAACTCCACTTGGGCTGACACATTCCCAGGATGACCCAACAGCCTTTTTGCACGTGCACATTAAATTTTGCAGCATCTGCAAAACACATCTGCGCAGAAGTGAGCTCCTTGGTGGTCATTTGGGTAGGGATACCCTTCCTTCAATACCTTTTAAGGTATTCAGTCATCTCAGGGCAGTAAAAGTTTACTGTAAGTTTGCCAGCTCCTTGAGGATGATAAGGATGTTAGTAGCCACAGCTCTGTCCTAATTGATAGAGTACTGTGTCCAGCTTTGGAGTCCTCAACATAGGAAGGACATGGACCTCTTAGAAAAGGGTCCAGAGGAGGCCATGAAGGTGATCAGGGGGTTGGAGCACCTCTGCTGTGAGGACAGGCTGAGAGAGCTGGGGTTGTTCAGCCTGGAGAAGAAAAGGCTCCAGGGAGACCTGAAAGCCCTGGCCACAGGAGAGACAGACTTTATCAGGGAGTGGAGTGATAGGATGAGGGGTAATGGTTTTAAACTGAAAGAGGAGAGATTTAGATTAGATATTAGGAAGGAATTCTTTGCTGTGAGGGTGGTGAGAGCTTGGCCCAGGTTGCCCAGAGAAGCTGTGGCTGCCCCATCCCTGGAGGGGTTCAAGGCCAGGCTGGATGGGGCTTGGAGCAACCTGGTCTGGTGGGAGGTGTCCCTGCCCAGGGCAGGGGGGTGGAACTGGATGATCTTGAAGGTCGCTTCCAACCCAAACCATTCTCTGATTCTGTATAGGAGTACATACTTTGACAGATGAGAGAACCTGGAAGTGATTAACTACATCTTGTTATCCCATCCTTATCACTATCAGCTCAGTGACCAACTATTTTCTCAGCCAGTAAGGACGTTAGTAGGAATGAAACAACATTTTAGTGTCCATATTGTTACAAACAAAGCAGAAGCCTGTCCTTGGTAAAGAAGGTACTTATGCAGGTTTTGTCTTTGGCTTTCTTGTTAGACATGTAAAGAAAGAAAGAATGTTTCTTGAGGATGGATCTTTCAGAAGTGCTATAAAGAGGAAAGTACAAAATTGAATTAAATTACTTCAAATCATCTGGTAGGCAAAGGGAAGTTATACATTCATTAAGTCTTATAAAAATCCTTAGGAAGAGGCACATTTTTTTGTTAAGCTTGTTACGTGCGTCACTGCCTTTTTGTATAATGGAATAAAATTCCTGGTTAGCATTAGAGTGTTTTGGTGAAGGCTGATCTTCCAGAGCTTTGGAGACAGAGGAGCTGTTTTGAAAAGTGAGAAGAAGCTGACAGTGTCTTTGCAGATACCACTATTAACTGATTTGCAAACAGAATTGAAGCAAAGGTGTAGCTTCAGCAGGAGGCACATATATAATATTATACACGTACATAATGTAGCACACACCATAATTTATAGGATAAATACTGTTTTTCACTCCTTATGGAAATGCCTCAGTAAGAGCAGGAATGATGGCAGGGTTTGCAGATCTGTCCCAAAAACATCTTATCTGTCAGGGGCAGCTGGAACTGACCCTTCCAGGGGGATGTGTTACTAGAGGTGGCATCAGCTTAAAAGAGCAACAGTGTTTTGGGGAGAATGGGAAGAATAAAAGAAGGGAAAGAAGAGTCATCACAGAAGCTGTGAGTCCCTGCTGGCTGGGAGCATGTGGGAATGAATTTCTTACTCCTTTTTTCACACGTCATCTTTGGAGAGAACCAGCAGCAGTTTTCACGTTAATGTCTGGCAAGAATAAGAATATTCATCAAGGAAGAAAATGATTTGTCATGATTTAGCTAATATGTAAGTTGGAGGCTTTAACTACCCAATAAGAGAATATTGAATTTCTTCAGGCCTCGCTGAAGAGCCTCAGATATTTTATTCCAGTTGATGCATGTGGTTAGCGCACAGCGCTAAATAGTTTGGTGCCTTCATCAGTATCATCTTCAGTTTTTCATCCTTCAGCGTGTAAATTGTTAGTTTACTCTTCTGGTTTTAATTAAAAACTCAGATGAAAGGTAGTAAACTCTCAAGTGGTGTTACTCGTGATTTCTGTTCAAACCATTAACTATTTTCATTGATTTTTTTCTTTTTTTTTCTTTTCCCTCTTGTCTGGTTCAAAAGATGAAACAGCTCACAAAGATTTAGGCTGAAATATGTACAAAAGCTAGGGGAGCATCTCTCGTGGGGGACAACAGCACTGGTTGGACTGGAGGACAACTCCTTGCAGTGGTTTTGTCTGCCTTTCTGGGTAATGGAAGGATTCCCCCAAAATAGGGACCAGACGAATAATTTTGGCTCCAGATGGATTTTCAAACTGTCTGATGCTTGTTGTAGCTGGGGAGAGAAGAGGGGTGTAGGATGCCTTTATAAATAACAGCCGGGGAAAGATGGGGTATGGAACAGCCTGCAGTGTGATAAACACTGGCTTCTGCAGAAACAGGGGCAGTTTTCCAAGCTGGTCATAAACTGCATCGCTTCAGACAGTTTATAAATATTTGTCTCCAAAATGTGCATGCGGAGCTTGCAGTGGAAGTGGAGCACAAAGCAAAATAAGGGCTTGCTATTTACAGTGCAAAAATCCTTCCTGGCATCAAACAAACCCCAAATTTTTATTTTTTCTTTTTTTTTTTCCTCTTACCTGACCTGGTTTTCTTTGTAGTGGAAGAATAGCCAGTAGGCTGTGGTTCTGAGGCCGTGTTTCAAGGGAGATGAGCCCAGCCAGCCATGGGCAGCGTTCTCCTCCGGAGCATCCCCTTTGGGGTTGTTCCAGCGCTCGCTCTCTTGTTAGGAAAAAAGTTGAACACGCCGTTTTCCATGATAATGAGGTTCTGGCCTCCTTTTGACAGCTGCAGCTCTTGCCAGCTGTTTTTCTTCCTCCCTTCCAACTTTTTTTTTGGCGGGAGGAAGAGGCTGAAGGCAGAGCAGTGGTTGCTGGAGCTTGAGGAAGCCTGTGCCATCAAGGGTGAGGGCTGGGCAGCATGTTGGGTGGCTGTTTTTTTCCCCTCATTTCTCCCGTTCATCCTTAATGTGAATCCTTCTGCTGCCTTATTGGAAGAGATCAATTTATACAGAGAATAAGTCTGGCTTCTCATATCCCAGCAATAATCATTCAGATGAGGAACGAGGTAATGGGATATTTGGGGATGGAGAGAGGAGACAAATGTGCGTTTGGTTTGGCTGCTCTCCTAAATTAGCACAGGACCCTTGAAATAACAAACTGCTGGATTTTTCAGGCTGTCGTATCCTTCAAGTTTGCCCATTTACCATGTTGTAGAGGGTAGGGAGGTTGTCCTGCACGTCCTTGCCCTGTCTCATAGTACCCACTCCAGTTGAGCGGTGCCTTCGAGAAGGTACAGGGCACTGCTGAGAGCTCAGGGAGAGGAGGAAGAGGTGGCCATGTGCCACAGCCCCAGGGATGGAGGAGCAGAAAGCAGCAGGCAGCAAGGTCGAGAGAGGTGATTCTGCCACTTTACTCTGCTCTGGTGAGACCTCACCTGGAGTATTGTGTGCAGGTCTGGAGCCCTCAATATAAGAAGGACATGGACCTGATGGAGAGGGTCCAGAGGAGGGCCACAAGGATGATCAGGGGGATGGAGCACCTCTGCTACGAGGACAGGCTGAGGGAGCTGGGGTTGTTCAGCCTGGAGAAGAGGAGGCTCCGGGGAGACCTAATAGCAGCCTTCCAGTACCTGAAGGGGCCTACAGGAAGGCTGGGGAGAGCCTGTTTAGAAAGGCCTGCAGTGACAGGATGAGGGGCAATGGCTTCAAGCTGGAGGGGAACAGATTTAGACTGGAGATGAGGAGAGGGTTCTTCACTGTGAGGGTGGTGGAGCACTGGAACAGGTTGCCCAGGGAGGTGGTTGAGGCCCCTTCCCTGGAGATATTCAAGGTGAGGCTCGACAAGGCCTGGGCAACCTGGTCTAGTTGGGGGTGTCCCTGCTGACTGTGGGGAGGTGGGACTAGATGGCCTTTGGAGGTCCCTTCCGGCCTGGGCAATTCTATGATTCTATGAAGGGTGTACTTGGGTAGAAATCCCCTGGTTTTGTGCACAAGGGGAAAGGAAAAGCGCTGTGAGCTAACTGGGATTGGTGTGAAATGTGGTAAAGGGGGAGTGGAAGCTCCAAAATGTGTGTAGGCTTTTTTTTTTTCTTCCCCGTGGTTGCCTCTGCTTTTTCTCCTCCTGCATCTTCACTGGGAACAAGCTGCTCTCTGCTGACCAGGCGCAGGATCAGCGCTGAAAGGCTCATCTGAAAACTGGGTGAACTGTGTCTTAAGACTCATTTTAGGCATTTTATACTTTTCTGTCTTTAAGGAGGACTCAAAAAAAGCCAAATTTTTTGAATTGTCTTGTCTTTTAAGAATTACTTAAGGCAAATAGAGAATGACTTACCTGAGCCTGGAGTACTTTGTACTGATACTAGTATAAATCCCAGTGGTGTTTTTGATGCTAACATCTTCCCTCTTATTTTTAGGTCCAGAGCATCATTCGCTCCCAAACCAGCATGGGCATGCGCCACAGAGACCGCTCTACAACGGGGAACACCCTGAAAACTGGCTTCAACTCTGCACTGACAACCTACTTCTTTGGGGCAGATCTGAAGGGAAAGCTGACCATCTCCCACTTCCTCGACTTCCAGCGCAAACTGCAGCACGATATTCTGAAGCTCGAGGTTTGGGTTATTTTTACACTCAGGGGAGGGCAGCGCAGCGTGGACTGTGCTGCATGATGTGGTTTCTGTCAGGAAGAGTTTTTGGGAAGGGTTGAGAGGGGGTTACTACAGCTGTGGCTCCTAGCACTCGTGGATCAAACCTGTTGTTGAAGTTCTGATGAGCTTTTCGCTGCCTGTGGTGCTCCCCAGGAACATCTCCAGCTTTTGTTGGTAGCTGCTCTTTGTGGAGTTGCAGCAGCAGCTGGCAAGCATCCCAGGTGCATGTCCCTCCATGTGGTGCTTGCCTTGCCATCGCCTTGGCACTGCTGATGGAGATGATTATGAGATGCTTTAGAAAAAGCACAGCAGAGGTTGTGAGTGGGCTGATGCTGCCTTACTGAGGAAGGTTTGTCGCAGTCCTAATGAGTGAGCTGTGCCCTGAAGGACCAGGGTTTATAATCTTCCCAGAACTCCTCTCTTCTTTTGTCCCCTCCTTCTTCTTAGCTTCATTATTTTGAATATTTCTGCTACGTAAATGCTCAAGCCTTGTTGAATCCTGCTAAATAGGTGGCCCCTGTTATTTGACTTTCCCTATTTTCTCCTGGATTAGTGTGTTTTGTAAGAAATGTTGTCCATCTCTTCTAAAGTTTTTGCCTTTCAGTTGAATTGAAGATCTCCCTTTTTCCTTTGCATTGCCATGAGTAATCAGCAGCTCCCAGTCTCCTGCTCCTTGTCACACAGCTTGAATTTAAGCACCAAGCTTCAAAATTTTGTTGGTGTTTTTTTTTTGTTTTTAAATCAAGTACAAGAACAGCAACAGGAACTCCTTGGTCTGTGTCTCAGCTCCCAAGCAGAGCTGACTCTTGTTAGAAACGGTGCCCTTCTCTGCAGTAGGCTCAAAGGTTTGACCAGGCTTGAGCAAAGCCAGGCTTTTATTTGTATCAGAAATGGGGATTTGTGCACAAGAAGATCCCTGCACCACTATAACCTCTTAAGACAGTGGTATTTGGAGTTCACTATCATTTCAGTCTGATGTACAAGTGTGTGTGTGCTCAGGTTGTGTGATCCAGCTAACAGCCAGCATTTTATTAAGTTCCTATTAAGTCAGTCATTGCGGATTTAACCTGAATTTATTCCCTCTTTTATTGGGAGTTTTACGAACCTAAGTAAGAAACTGTCTCAAGGACTAGTTGTTTTTTTTTTTTATGAAGGTAATTGTCCAGTTCACTAACTTCATGTAACTGGTCATTAAAGCGAATGGTGTGGCTCAGCATTTGCAGGGGGAATAGGTTGGTGGAAGAAAATATTCTTGGACTGGAAAGTGTGGATTCCTCAATGCCTCTACAAATTGAAAACAAATGCAATACTTCTTAAGAAAAGCTGAAACATGAAGGGAAGAGAAATAGTTTCCTCAATGCCTCTACAAATTGAAAACAAACGCAATACTTCTTAAGACTAAGAAAGATAAGCTGAAACATGAAGGGAAGAGAAATAGATTATTCTGTCCTCGTTGGCCATTCTGCTCCAGTTTCCCCCTGCCACATTTGCTCCAGGGACAGGCAATGAGGAGGCACAATGAGGAGTGTTATTTCTGACCCTCTGCTGGAGTCCTGTGCCCCCTCCACAGGTCCCCACTTAGCTCATTATGAAGCAATAGAGCTTTATTTTCAGTTCCACGGTACTTGTTCTTCTTTTCCTCCTGCAACAGTTTAGTGTTAATTGAGTTTTTAGTGAATTCAGTCAATTGTACGTCTTTCTGGTGAATGTTAGTTGCCTTTCTAACAAGTTATTTATTAATTGGGGACAGTGCAAGATATTTATGTTTTGGTAAGTTAATGAATTTCATAAATGCATCGTTACTGAGTTGCTGACAGCACCCTTGAGCACTGTACCGTGCTGTGCTTTGCATTTTTGATACTTGTTTGAACTGAAAAATTGACCTATGCGAAGGTAACAGTTCTGTTCTGCCAGACTTAATATTTTCCTGAGTTCATGATACTAAAGTACGTGATTTTTCTGTTCATAGTTCTCATAGATTTAGGGAATAGAGACCTATTTCTGTCTTCAGCATTATGCAACGTGGCCTCTCCCCTCTTCTGCTTTTATGTCTTTTGACATGATCTCTCACCTCCTCTCCTTGCTTCGCGTTTGATCTGTTTGTTCACAGTTAAGCAGCTTTTCCTACGAGTGTCTAGTGGGTTTGCATGGCTCCTTTTCCAGGGAGTGCTCTAATGAACTCAGCCACTTTAAAAATGTGGTAATGCAGAGAAGAGACATCCTTCAAGTCTTGACCCATGCAAGTCAGGAGAGTCTGAGAACCGGTGCTAGGAAATACTGTGCTGCAGAGCATCAGGTAACTCATGTAGATGATACTTAATGACTTCCCTTGTTTCATATGTCTAGTTGGGTGAGGAGCCTGTGAGCACAGTAGTCCTTCATTAGCCTCGTGCTTGACTGCCCATGGAGATCATCTCTGGGTCCTTCTCTTAGCATGACTACCATTGCCAGTGGACAAGAAGGAGCAGAAAAGAGCTGGTGGCAGATCTGCCAGGGCCTCAGGGCTCAGCTGAACTCTTGTACTGAATTTCACTGAATTTCCCTGAATTTTTAGAGTTGGAAGGGACCATAGAGATCATCTAGTCCAACTCCCCTGCTGAAGCAGGACCACCCAGAGCTTGTCAGAGCATGTTACTCAGGAGCATCCAGGTGGGGCTTGAAAATCTCCAGAGAAGGGGACTCCACACCCTCCCTGGGCAGCCTCTGCCAGGGCTCTGTCACCCTCACTGTGAAAAAGTTCTTCCTCATATTCAAGTGGAACCCTTTATGTTCCAACTTGTGCCCATTGCCCCTTGTCCTCTCACTGGTACCTTCATCTACTCGTCCTTTGCTGGCTTAGCAAAATTAGTACATGGTCTGAAGCTGGAATGTTAATTTGAAAGAGGTTTTTTTCATATTTGGTGTCTGAACACCAGAAAAGGCTTTGGGGAAATGCACTTGGAGCAGGTCTGAAGAATATCTCCAGGGGCTGGTGCAGCCCCCGAGTGACTCTGTTCTCAGACTGGGACACTTGCTTTCTCTCTTGCAAAAGAAATCTACTTTAAGTAAGAGCTTTTTTAGAGCTGTTTTCCCTGTGGCTCAGGATCCAGGTATTTCTGCAGTTAATACACTGGAGAGCTGGTTTCTTCTGCTGACTGAAGGTGGAACAGTAGTTTCTGACCATCTGAACCCACTTTCCTCTTACTGATTTTAGTTCATTTTTTTCATGCAAAAATATTAATGAATGTTTCTTGTTAAGATTGAACAGAAACTTTCTCAGAGGGATTAGATCAGAGCAAACACTGAACATTTCAATATTCCTTATGACTGAAGTGCTGACAGCGTGTTTAAGCTGCTGTGACCTGGTGTATTTGCCTTCCCTTCTGCTTATTTTTTTTTTGATGAAAGTACGTTTTCCATCGTTTTATGGAAACTCAGCAATTGGCTCAGTTGCAGAAAGGCAAGTATGAGGAAAGGAACCACAGCCAGAGGGAGAGGAGAAGCTTTTAAGGCCTTATTCCAACTTTTTGTGGTTTGGCTCCTTTCAGAATGTAGTGGTGGCCCGGGTTAGTTAAGGCTGAGCCCCAGGAACAAGCCCACTGAATGGGGCAAGCTCCTGGCAAAAGCCCTTGCCATTTTCTTACTGCATTCATGCTGCCTTGCATCAGTGTCTATGGAAAGACTGCCTTTCTGCTTGTCTCTTGGCATGACAAATGGTGACAAGTTAGCCTGGACGGGCTCTGCAGCTCTAATGTGTCCTATTAGGGCAGGCAGAATTGGACTCGAGCGGTGGATTTATTTTTATGTTTAATTTTTTTTTTTTAAGTACTCTGCAAGTTAGGGAGATGGATGGGACTTGACATCATTGTTTAGGCTGTTTCTGCTTGTTAGTGTCTGTCCTAGATAGCCCTGTGTCCTTGGTGGACCAAGAGAAATCCCAGCCAGCCTGTGTGTCTCTTCTACTCTAAATTTTTCTGTGATTCTGTAAGTGCATGTAAAAAAGATGCGTTAGCCCTTTGTTCCCCACATCTGTGTCAGCCCTGAGCAGCCTCAAACCTGCTAATAGAGGGGATTTAATCTGCATACTTAGTTGCCTTTTATTTCCTCAGGCCTCTTTCTGCTAGCAGTGGGATACGCATGGCGCAAGACCTTAGTTATAATTTTATTATTTTTTTTTTTTCCCAAATTGCTCAGATTTCTATAGCACATCGTTTCCCTGATGGTTGCTCAAGGGAGGGTGTTTGTTCTCAGTTGAATTGGTGAAGCTGGTTACTAATCCAGCCCTGCTCCCTGTAGGAGTGGGGCTCTTTTCCCAGTGGGAGATGCCAGGGCTGGAACATCAAGGTTGTGCTTCAGGGCTTGGAGCAACCCCACCTCTCAGTCTGGTGTGAACCAGGGTCTGCTCTTGGAGGTGGTGGGATGCAGCTTCCCATGGAGGAGCTTGCCAGGTAGGTTGAAGTGTCATCCTCATGCAGATGTGTATCATTATCATAGAATCATAGAATTGTTTAGGTTGGAAGGGACCTTTAAGATCATCCAGGCAACCATTATTATACTTAAAGGGATTTTTGTTTACCCAAGGATCAAGGGCACCCCAGTAGTGGTCTCTCCCCAGCAAAAGCTCTCCCAAGCACTGGAGCAAAGAGAAGGAAAATGGGATTCTGTGAGAATATGGCAAAGGTACCACGTCACTGCTGCCATCTGAAAAATCACTTATTTTATGTGTCTGTTCTGTGACAGGTGATGTGAGAGTCACTTCTTTACCCTGGAAACTCCTGTTGTCATGACCAATGCCGGTAACGGTTCCTGCTTGGTTTGGTTTTTATGAAGAAGGGATGATGGATGTTCTTCCATCTGCACATATCTTGTTAAAAACTCCTAGATTTTTTGGATTTCAACCTTGTCTTAACAAATATTGTGGTTTCAGGAAGCCTTTCTAATGCTTCACAATCTGGTTTCAGGGCAATAACTTGAGTCAATATAAT